TTTTCAAATGTGATTCTTGTTGATATGGCTCGTATATTGACAAAGGAAGGAGGCAGACTGATGCCTGCGAGCGTAACGGAGCGAGGGAGGCGGAGCGAGAGAAGCGGAGCGACCGAGCGAAGTGAGCGGAGACGGGGGTGCGGGGGCAGAGTCCCCGCGGTACGGTACGGGGTATTTAAGTAAATTAATACCTTGTAGGGTTATAGTATAAATATATGGTGTATTGATGTATTTGAGACTATTGAGAATAATAAAGATCCTCAGCCGCCGTGGACGTAGCCACATTGCCGAACCACGTAAATCTTGTGTTGTTTACTTTTCTCGTTTTTAATTCGTATATCATATTGTCATATTCACTCAACAATTCTATAAAGTTTTCGTTGAAGATGGTAGTTAGTTGACAACTATATATATATTTTTTAAAACAAATTTATATTTTCAAACTGAATTATCATACTAAAAGAACGACTCGAACAAAATTACAGTTAGACCGACTTATACAAAATTTCTTGAAAGGGAAAAAAATGTAGTAGTTATCGATAGTAATCTTCAAATAGAAAGACCGAAAAGTGAACCGAGTCAACTTAATAGACTTAAAATAAAAAAATTACAATTTGAACAAAACACTCAAATACACTTCTAAACCTATCACAATTCACAACACACCATTCAACATTCCCAATCACTCACCTAACTTATTGCCTCAACCTTAAATTTTGACAAGTTGTGAGTACAATTATATATGTGTTCCTTTGTTTTCTTGCATTCAAATTCAATTGCCTGTACTCCAGGGCATGCACTCATATTCGCGTCCTCTTATCAATTCTTAATAAATTACATACTCATCTAATTTGGTCCCCATTAGTAATGTGGTAGGATCAATTTGGAAGATTGTATGATAGTAACAGCACTTATTTAATGGACCGTTACGGTGTCAATTCCGTCGGGTATTTTAACCGTTAGACATCTAACGATTACTGTATCAGGACCGTAGCATTTCCCATAATTATAAGTCTGTAAACTCAAAATGCAATAAAATCATTAATTTTACTTCTCACTCTAAAATGTTCGAGAGTTGGTTCTGGATTTGTTCATTAAATTCTTGAGGGCCCAATGATTTGGACCTTGCGCTAGCAGGCTCCATGGCTTATTGGACTTTTGTCCTCAGGTTTTTGGGCTTTTGTCCACCACGTGATCTGATTCTCACCACTAGAAATCTGACACGTCTCCCTTATTTCATTCTCATCCACCACTGCCAGTAGTCGTTTGGCAACGACCAACAAGTACAGAAATATATATTCATTTTTTTTTATCGTTAAATAAACTTATATTGATCAAAACGTAAAATCAAACAACTAAAGCGACTTTAAAGAGCGTAGCGGGTAGCCACAAGTCGACTCCTCATTCGAAAGAACAAAAATAACGAGGACAAATGCAATCCAATTATTCACTCGCGTAACAAAATCGTCCAAGTACAACTACATTTCATTTTTTTTTTTTCTCGATGTAAAAGGAAATTAATTGTTTTTATTTTACATTCTATATTTTTATTTTGAAGAAAAAAATAAAGTTAATCTTATCCATAGTCATTGCTCAATCAATGTCTTTTCCCCTGACTCAAAAGTTAAAAATTAAGTTTTCGTGCTAATGTGAATTCCATAATCAGTACTAGGGATGCAAATAAATTTAGCGGTAGCATGTTATCTCGAGCATAAGTTTTGGAAGGGAGCTGCTCGAGATAGTAGTGAATTTGTAAAATACTTCTTATATATAAATATTATACTACCTCATATTTTCAATAGATGTCGTTTTGGAATGTTGCTCATCTATTAAGAATATTTTTTTGTCAATAATAATCTTATTTAATGAAGATAGAGATGAATGTTTTGAGAAAAAGATGAAGAGTGATTATAAAAAGACGTGATGTATTTATTAGTTAAATGATGGTAATAATGGAAAAATATGTACAAAAGATTCAAAACGACATTTATTTAGCAAATAGTTGATAAAGCTAGAATGACATTTCAAAAAAATAGGAGGGAGTAATATTTTAAATATGTACTTAATGGTAATTTTTCTTGAAATTTGAGTTGAACTCGAGCCATGCTCGAACAATCTTTCGAGCATTTCGATCTCGAGCGATTGCCTTCTTCTGTCGAGTTGATCTTGAGCTTCATAAATCGAGCTCGAGCAAATAAAAAAAATCATATTGCTCGATAAAATTATTTAATTGCTCGACTCAACTCAACTCAACTCAACTCGTTTGCATCCCAAATCAGTACACATAAGGATTAGTAACCTTAATGGTGACTATAATGCAGAGTATTTTCCATTATTCAATGATTTCAATCAACTTTTATATATCATGCATATATTATTGACTCAACTCTCACCAAGAGTTAAAAAACTTATTAAAATACACTAAACATAAGACATGCTTCAGACAACATAGAAGCATCGAGCCATAAATATTCCACTTTTTTCAGCAATTTTTGGCAATGAGTTTTCAACTTTATCAAAATTTGTGCATGACTTTGAATATTGTCTGCGAGCAATCAGTCGTGTTTTTCAGATTTTAGTTTTATAATTTCACTTCATTATTTTAAGTAAATACTAACTACATTCTTGTCAAATTGTAACTGTTAGATCGTCATGTAACCGTAGTGGATAGTTGATCTCAGGGGTGAAGCCAGCCTCAAATTTCACCGGGGTCGGCAATATTTTTTAGCGGGGTCATTAATTAACCTAGTAAACAGTGTTTGAACAGTATTTTATACTAAAAATTTTGAAATCCATAGGGGTCAGCTGACCCCAGCCACAAGGTGTGGCTCCGCTACTGGTTGATCTAACAGTTACAAATTCCGACGAAATGGTTCCGTAACAAGACCGTAAAAACCAACGAGGTTAATGGAGTATAAAAAAATTGGATTACATTAAAAATATCAACAGTATTTTTTTTTTGGTAGCCAGCCACGGTATCCGAATCTATGCCCCGACTAATCCGTTGGTCGACCCAAGTCGCACACCTGGCAGTGGTGGGTGAGTCTCCCAACAAGGGTTTTCTGCATCCACAAGGACTCGAACTCGAGACCTTCCTTAAGCGACATCAAACAATATCAACAGTGTTTTGATACTTATCCTGTGATCATGATTACACGTTCAATCAAACAATATCTTTCAGTAAAATATATTAAATTTCTCCATTATATTAAAATTATATTCCCCCAATCTCCTTTTTCTTTACTATTTTCAGGTTGACACATATTTTGAGTGGTGATGACGTGATGCAGCAATTCAGCCAGGTGGGCACGGATCAATGTACAACCCCGCCAATCTACCAAAGTACCACCCATAGTAAGCATAAACCATCAAATTCCATTTTAAACTTCCGTTGTTTTTTTTGTGGCTATGTCTCTAATTACTAATTAGCATTTTGAAAAGAATACAATTTTGATAAGTAAAATTATAGGGTTGATGGTGAATTCGAAGTTATCCCTCCCTCTATATTAATCCCAAACGTGTTGACCTTAAGTGACAGATTTTCACGCTTCGAATGCTGACATGGCGAAAATCTATGTTTCGTGATGTTTCTATATTATTTTTTTTACTCTGAAGTTAAGTTTGATATTAGACATAAATAACTTTTATCATATATTTCGTGCAACTTTGCTAAGAAACCAGATGGTTGGTTCCCTTATGGAACCAACCACCAATGAGACAGTGCCACATGGAGCTTGGTGGTTGGTTCTATAAGGGAACCAACTATCTGGTTTCATAGAAGAACTGATATTTCTTGACTCAACACTCGTGTTGTACACGAATATTTTACTAGTTTTAATTTTATTTGGGAAAGTATTGTTTGAAGTATTTTTTTTTGGTATAAAAAAATTATATTTTTGAAACATTTCTTAGAAAATAGTCATCTTTAGTTACTTTTACTGGTAAAACTATTGTTAGACAGACCTAACAATTAAATTGTTATTTTTTTTAATAGATGTTCATGCTATTAAATTAAAATGACACTTTAATATAATTATTTGCTAAATGCCAAAGTACATATTTTCACATGTACAAGTATATTTTATGGATTTTTTAAATATTTTTTATTTTAAAAATGACCTTTTATTCTTATAATTAGTATATAACTTTAAATTTTCTTTTAGAAAAAACATAAATAACAAAAAAAAAAAACAGAAAAAAATTAAATTACAGTACTAAAAGACAACAAACAATTACACTAGCAACCTCAGCCTCTGCACAAAGTTTGTTACAAATAGATTTAATTTGCATACGCATACTTTTTGTATTTATATACACGTCCCCCATTTCCCTCCTTTTTCACTTCTGTCACATTTTATATTTTTATTTATCTTCTGCTTCACTCAAACCTCCATACTCAGACCTTTTTTTCTTGCAGAAATTGAGAAAAAATGGCGATATCAAATTCCGCTATATAATCATTTTAACTACTAAATTCAAACAAAATCTAATCAAAAGGGACCCAAAAAAAATGAGAAAAGTGCTTTCTCTGCGAGCAGGGGCGGCCGCGGCCATGCCGGAGTTCAACGTCCACCTGTCGCCGTCGGTTGACAAATCAAGCCACGCTGAGCCTCCACCGGCGGAGGCGAGCTGCGACGCGGTCAAGTGCCCCTGGTGGCCGTACTCGAACGCCACTGACTTCAGGGCGAACACGGCCCTGATCCTGGCGGTCCTCTTCTGCGCTCTGATCTGCGCCCTCGCGCTCAACGCCGTCGTGCGGTACCTCGTGCATCGGCACTGCTGCCGCCGCCGCCGGCGGGAGAAGGCGGAGGAGAGCGGCGGAGGGGAGGAGAAGGCGGCGGAGGTGCCGGCGGTGGTGTACGCGGAGGGGATGGGGCTGGCGGGGGAGGAGAGGGAGTGCATAATCTGCCTGTCGGAGTTCGCCGCCGGCGATAGGATCAGGGTGCTGGAAAGGTGCAGCCACGGGTTCCACGTGCAGTGCATCCAGCGGTGGCTGGCGGCGCGTGACTCGTGCCCCACCTGCAGAGCGGTGTGCTCCGACGAACTCAAATCATCGCCGCCGTGAGAAATGGAATATTTGTGCTTGTATTTTTTTTTTTTTTT